TTTCCAGCCACCGTGCTCTGAATGGGGAGAATGCAGTGCCTCTGAACCTCTGCCTGCCAATATCAAGTGTCTGCCTAATTCTGGATATTTGGACAATGATTGTGCTAGAATTACTTTAATTTTTAATGGAGACAAAGTTCCACAGGTGAGAAGAAATTAATAGCAAAGTATGGCAATATATGTAGCACTGTACTCCATGTACAGACATGGAAGATTAATACTTCTAATAGTGACTCCTTGTTGTATCAGCAACTTTAAAAAAAAAAAATTGATGACTTCTGCTGTAAGATGCCCTATGTCTAAAAGGCAAGACAAAATTAAACTTTATTTTTAATATTATGGGTTTTTCAAATCTTAGAACTGAATTATTTCTGATAGTTCAAGATCAATTCAGGATGTTTTTTGGACTGTGCTAATATAGTTGTTTAAACCCAATCCCTCCCGCTTGGTTCCAAAACCTTGTTCCTCACTGTTGTCCTCTTTGTCGTCATCGTCATGTTTCTGTAGCTGCAAAAATTTGAGTTGTGTACTTTTAGATACTATTTTTGACTTGAACTAAAGTCATGCAATTTACATTGTTTCTAACAGGGCACTACAACAGAAAATATTTGCTCTGAAATTCGATATTTACCAGCTTCTAGAATTGTTTCTAGGGAGAGAACTTTGATAATATTATGTGACCTATCGTACTCCACAGAGAATGCAGTGGAAGTTGCTATTGTAAGTATGAGATTTCTACTTATATATGCAGGGAAGTGCTATTTGGAGCATGGGAAGCTGTTTAAAATTATTTCATGTATTTAATGTACATACAATAATCCTTTTCATTCCAGCTGCAAATATGAGAATTTGATCTCAGAATTTCCTAATTGCTAGATAGCTTTGTGAACTATGAGTATTACTAATGACCGAAGGCTATCGCCATCCTACTGATAAAGCATTGCAGACACTGATTTCATCCTGATAAGCATCCAAAGGTGGTTAACTATCCGAAATCTTGGGCTATTGACCTTCTCTGTATAGAGATAAGGCTGCCAGTGGTTGAATTGGATCTTGTCAGCATAAAGCAGTTTGGCTGCTGTGCATCCTCTATGGCTGCTTTAGGAGACTCAGTAAGCATCCATAAGCGTAAATGGATAGTAGAAGAGGATTCCAGTCAGGTGACAGTAACTGTTGCCCTACAAAGCTTTTTTTATTTAAAAAAAAAAAAGCCCTAGATTGCTTTAGAAGTATTTATAGCCTAGTCAGTGCTTATGGATTGCTTAATTTTCAAGCAACAAGTTAATTTCCATGGTAAAATGTTTATCTAGGCAGAAGCTGCACTGTTTGCTTACCAGTACCATGCTGAGAACATGCTGAGCCATGATGCAAGAAGCAGAGTGTATGGTTTAAATATAGCAGGCTGTTAATGATCCAAGCTTGTATCTAGATAATGTGCATGTCTTGAAGTGCTTCAAATTATGACTAAGTTTAGCTCACTAGTGTAAGTAACGTGGAAGTCAGTTGCCTTTTACTTGAGGTGTACTGCACCAGCAAGCAGGAGTGTTGCCCACCAAGTCTGATACTCTGTACAGTGCAGATTGAACCAGCATGCTATTGCTACAGTAAGCTTTTAGGCTGCTGTTTATAAATAACTGTCAAGAAAACCAACTTATAGAGCACAGTTAAGATGTAACTGGTGTTAAAAAGTAGAATTATTGCCATCACTTCACTCTGTAATTTTTTCCCCCCTTTCCCTCCACTCCTTTAGTCTTTTGTTCCGCATCAAGATGAACAAGACAATAGTCTCATACAGAATGCTGCTAATACAATAGTAAATGCAATCACCAAGCGGCAAAACAGCACTGTTATGTTGGCAGTAACTGAGGTCAAAGTAGAGACCATAGTTGTTGGGAATTCATCATCAGGTAAGATTCCCAATATATTAATTCTGTTTTTAAGCATGTACATTGCCCCTCCTGTTAGTTTTTTGTCTGTTTTAACATGTCTTGCTGGATAAGTGGTAGATCAGGTTGTTACTTTTAACTCTATATTTGCTATCTCTTAACTGAATAGGAAATGTTTTAAAAGCAAGAACCTGTGTTTGTGTTCTAGTTTAAATGCAAACAGAATATTCCTACCTACTCTCATACACTATTTTGACTCTGGTTTCCAATTATGCTTTCCACTTAAATATGCCTTTAACAGCCAAGGATTTCCTACTGTTAATTGTGTTGCTTACATCCTTTCTGATTGTCCCAAATTAATTTCACCCGAGCCCCAGTCCTTGATGCTGCTGAAAAAAGTAATGGGGGAGGAGACAGACCACAGGTCATTACACCTAGTGTCTGCTAAAGTGCTCATGTTACCTCCTTAACAGGAGTAAAAATTGTCTAGTATCTTCTTATACTTGGCCAGAATGAAATCACTTTTCTTTCTTTTTTTGCCATGAGTTTCTCACTAGTGCACATCTGACTTAACTATAATGTGCATTCCCCTTAATGAGCATATGGTATGATTGGAGAGACTTTTCTCTGAATATGGTCTCTACAAGACATATGCCAGAATGAACAGTTGAAGATTTTTGCATGCTTGTATCCTTGCTCATCTTCTTGGCCGAGGCAGGCAGGAGAAGGTTGTGTGGATGCCTCCTGGTAGGCTGCAGTTCAAACAAGTCCTAGAGTAGAAATCTTACAATGGTAGGAGACTCTTCTTTTTTTTTTTTTCTTTTCCCCAATGCAACCTTCTGGAAAGTCTTCTACCCGTGGTCCAAACAACGAGTAAATTGCATGGTTCTACTTCCCTTGACTTTGGCTTCTAGGGAATGCCTTTAATCTATTGAAGCCTTGGCAAATACACTGTTTCCTCAACTCTCTTGAGAAAGGAATGCACAAGCTTTGTTCTTGTATTGAACAAAAGCTGCATATATGGTAGACCTGTGCCAACATTTTGATATACTTAAAACCCTCTTATTTCTGGCTGTGTGTAAAATCCTGGGAGAAGTGCCATTATTCTGCTTCCCACTCAATAAGACAAAGGGAAGAGACTTTATTAATTTCATAACTAAGGACAGAAAATAAGTTTAAAAAATCTTTTGATATGGATGCTTAGTATTGAGCAGATTCCCCTGGTTTCTTAACTGAAATCATTAGGAAGTAAACTATAACCAATCAACAACCAGGAAAATCCAGATTTACTCTTAGCCTTTACTTATTTCTCAAATGTAGCACAATGTTGATGGAACACCCCTGTGTCTGTCATGAGAATCTAAATGTGATTTTTATGGTCAAGTCCGTAGAGATGATTTTGCATAGTCCACAAATTAAGATGGTTTTGTTCCTTAAAAGCTAGACAAAAACTGATGATGTGTCTAAATGGCCAAAGCCTTGTCTGTGAATCTTAAAAAGTTGGATCCAATGTCATTTAATTAAGTAGAAATTGGGTTGCCATGAGAATGCAAGTTTGGTTTTCTAATTGTGGAGAGGCTGGTATGAAAAGCTGGTCTTTCCTTGAAATATTTTTCCTCTAAATTCATAGTTTAATATTATACTGTTCCTGAAAAATTAGGAGAGACTAGCAGTTATTTTTAGGACCACTGTCCTTCCCCAAACTGCTAAAATACAGTTTTAGATTTCTTTAGACCAGCCAGGTTCCCAGTTGATTCAGTCTCCTTTACGAGAAAGAAGTGTAGGAATTGCTAGATGCAACGTACACAAAATTTTCACACAAGAACATGTTCAGAGGCACTTCAAGGTTGGAATGAAGGTGCTGAATCAAGTTGCTGAAGCAGTTGCAGTCATTTTTGCTCAGTGGGTTATTCTGCAAGCAACTGACCTAAAGCTACAGAGAGAATTTACATTTGGATTATAGGCTAGAGGAGTGAGTTGACAGCATTTGTCTGCAGAACTTTGAAGTTGTGCGTTGTAAGAGGAAATGAAACATGAGATGCTTTATACTTTTCTAAGGTCAAAAGGATTGCTCAAAGAGTAGAAAAATGGGTTACTTTTCTGTCTTAGCAGTACAGCCAGAGCAGAAGTAGTAGAAGCAAATGTCCAGCATGCATAGCTTCTCAGGGATTATTTATCACAGAAATGTAGGTTGGCGTGGCTGAAAGAGAACCTAGTGGACTTGTGTGATAGAAAAGTGTGGAGAAAAGCAATTGCCTCAACTCATTTTTTCATTTAGCAGTGAAGAGTAGTGTATTTAATGATAGAATTCTGTTACACCAAATAACTTAGCACAAGAAAACAAACTAAGAATTTGACTGTGAAGTAAAACTGGAAAGTTGTAAGGGGTGCTTGTTCGGTTAATTGTTTTTAGTATGAATATTATGACATTTAAAGTAAGAGGTAGGTGGTACATAAATGCCTGGAGTTGACAGAAAAGGATGTTTCTGTCTCACGGTAAATGTAGCGTGTGTTTCTGATACAAATACCCGTACTTACTCTAGAGGGATAGTAGTTCTTCCAACCTGCCTTCTAAGAGGGCAAGGGTTTGTTAGTTTGTTTTGCATTTTGTTTTCAAGCGTCATGACTGAGGTTTTGTGGGGCAGCTTGGCCTATGTGCTTCGGAAGGAGATGCTATTTATATAATCGGTTCTTCCATTAGAAAAGAAATCATTGCGGATGCGTTTTCCCTGATTAATGATAGAGGAAAAATGTTAGCTTAGAATAGTAATAGCATTTCTAGACAACTAGTATATGGTGGTAAGTGTGTAGCACTGAAGGTATTTTTTTCTAAAAGTCCTTTCGGGGTTATCTTAGACATGGGTGCATCTCTTGCAACTATCCAGTCTATATATCTAGTTCTATTAACACAAGAATTTTGTTTGTTTGTCCTCTAGATTATTTGGTTCCAATTCTTTGTGCGGTGTTCAGCATTGTGTGGCTGACTTGTATAATCATCTGTGTGTGGTGGACTCGGAAGAGAAGAAAAGAGAGAGAAAGAAGTCGTCCTCCTAGAGAAGAGGGTGCCAATAACCAGTGGGCACCTTTAAATCCCATAAGAAATCCTATAGACAGATCTTATAGTAACAAAGACATTCGTTATGAATGCAAAAACTTCATATCTCCTCAAAAAAGAACTTGTGATGCAGTAGAGGAGTATGTAGAGTATGAGGAAGAGGAGGATGAAGATGAGGAAAGAGATGAGGAAATGGACAAATTCCTCTCTCACAAACTCGCAAAGCCTTTGCCAACAAAGGCATCTGACACATCAGAGAGCAGTCCAGTAAAGAAATCCCATCAAATAGGCAAAATGGACAACAGATCTGTAAAAAATGTGAATGCATCAAACTTTGAAGGCAGTAGAGACTAATCCGTTTTTGGAAGGTGGGCACACTGCGCCTGCCCTTACTGGGGAGGGGAAACGTTGACATCTCCACTTTGCATCAAGGACTAAAAATATCTGGAGTCAAATGTTCATAGTTTCTTTATTTTGAGTAAAAAAAAATTAAATAAAAATAATAATAAATAAAATTTATTTTGTTTCTTTAGCCTTGTATAAATTATTCAATGACTGTCAGATGAAAAAAATGAGTAATCTTTGATAGTTGCTATTTTTGTAAAGTTTACTTATAATACACTCGCTATGTGGCAGAGGAGAGGTTGTATTTTCAATATGTGTAAAGTTTATTACAAAAGACTGTACACTGTTTACAGAATGTATTTCTTTTTATTACTTGCTCTAATTTAATGGTGGCTTTAAAACCTCCTGGTTGAGGAAATTGTGTGAACTTTAAGCTGTTTTCTTGACTTTGGATCTATTAATGGCAGCTCACTGCACTTGTTACGTTAGTAGCTTCTGTAAGATTTTTTTCCAAATTTGCCTTACACACTTTGTAATAGGAACAAAAAATTATAGAGATCTTTCAACTGTGGTTTAAAAGTGGCCTTTTTATTTCTGTTTTAATTACTTTAGAATTGCAGTATTGAAGCATGTGACAAGTGCCTTGAGATTAAACTTTTTCTATAGCAACTGTCAAAGACTGCCATATCAATATAGCTAAATTGTGAGAACTCTAGGTTCCCCAACTGACACAGTTTATTTTCTAATAGTGAAAGTGCTTTTTTGTAAATATGTACATATTAAATGAATCACTCTGTATATTTGATTTAATAACTTAAATATTTTGGTCTTTTTTTACATGTCATTCCTTTTAATTTATGTTGCAGAAAAGGAGGTTTTATGGCAGTTTATAAGACTTTTTTTTGCTATTATGTCCAGATTAGAAAATGATGTTAATACAATCAATGTTAGGAATCTGTTGGTCATTTGTATTTACATAGGAACATAACCACTTATGTGTAAATAGATCCAGAACTGTTTGTTTATCCCCACATTCAGCCCATCTCAAGAACACTTAACGGGTGCATCTACTGTACAGTACCAACATAGTGAGGCATTGTTTTTCTTTTGTGAATATGTTAATTACATGTGGTATTACCTTTTGCGTTTAAATACAGGCCTAATGAAGGGAACAATATTTTCCTCAATCTTGTTTCTGTTGTGCTTTATTCATCTTTTGCTCTAAAGAGAGAAAAAAAAAGAAAAAAGAAAAAAAAAAGACAAAATAATAATAATAAAAAAAAAGGTTGGCAAGCTGAGAAGATGGGAGTACCTCATTAGAAATGATTATTTGTATTGGAAAGATGGAAGGCTTACGGGGTTTTGTTTTGGGTTTTTTTTTTTAAGGCTTTATTACTGCTATTAACTGGGCAAACCAAGTTTATTTTAATTACTGAAAAAGCATAACATTACATCCACCTAGTTAACCCTACCAGTGAGAAGAGCAGATGTTTATTTGAGAGCATAAACTCTGGCCCATGAACAATGTAAACATAAATGTTTTGAAACTAGTTATTTTATACATGAACACAGGAATTGCTTTGCAGGATCTTCTGTTTTAGTATACTTTTGTTTGACATGTTCTTAAAAAAAAACTTTCAGAAAAAACTATTTATTAAAGCATTTTATAATAATGTTTGTTGTAACTTTTTTACTTGTGCTAAATATTCAAAACTTATTTTGATAACCTGGTTAGGAGTTAGTTTAGAAAAGGGTACTATCCTTCTCATGTTCCCCAGTATAATCCTAAGTATTTAAACCAAAAACACTTTTTTTCTGCTACTCTTGTAACTTTTTGTACTGTAATGCTGCTGTCTTCCATAATCTAATAAAATGATTCCCTCATTGTGTGTAAGATACTTCAGATTGTGTCTATTTTCTAAGTACCTGAAGATCTGATGAGACAAGATGAATAAAAATGGGAAGTCATGACTTAAATACACAGTAACCATAATGTATAACTATAGCCCATGGCTTTCATCCAAATGTCAATACCTCTTGAGCCAACGTAGGAGTGTTGTCCTTTGCTCACTTGCGCTGTTGCGAAGGTGAAGGTAGCATCCCATGTGTGCTCTGCAGGCATGGGCTCCTTTAGCACTTGAGCCTCTTGGCCCTACCTCTCTTGCAAGCTACAAGGGTAGGTTCTAGCTGGTCAGTATCATGGTGTATGTATGTGTTCTCTTTGGAATGACTTTCATGCCAGCTGTTGTCTAGGAGTCTCATTTTGCTTCCTTGGGTAGAAAGAGGGTGGTGTCAAGCATGAAGGGGCTCTGATTACCCTGGCCCAATGGAGCTGGATTTTGATTTTTTTTTTTTTTTTAAATAATCTTTCTGCAGCAATTTGGGCCTGTGACGTGGTCCCATTTCAGTCTGGTGTGTCTGTACCTTGTCCTTAATGGTGACTTGTCAAGTTCTCTTAGGATATGTTTTCTGTGGTAAAGGTAAGCTCTTCTAGAAAGTACATAGAATGTGAAAGCTTAATTTTTCTAGTAGCTGCCAACTACTAAAGCAGCATCTCAGAGGCTGGCAGACAGAATTTTTATTCCAGTCCTCATATGCCTAGTGCATTATCATTTTCCTTGGGGTATTAGCTTGGCTCTATCTTGATAAGAGCTGTTTCTGAGTTCCCAGGATCAAATTCTATTGCTGTCTTTGATTTGTATTTCAAAATACCTGTCTGCTTCTGCCCTTGAAAAAAGGCTGATGGGTGTGGAGAAATTCAAAGCTAAGACAAGGAACCAGCACATTTAAAAAAAAAAAAAAATCCCAAGATCAATTCTGTAGTGCCTTAGAAAAACCTACTGGCTCTTATGATATTTTGCTGGCTCTTACTCCTTTTTCAATGGAATTAATGATAGCTGTTCAGGGCCCTGTCATGATTAAAATAATAATAAATGTAAAAGGTTGTTTTTTTTTGTTTGTTTGTTTTTTTGTGTTTTTTTTGTTTTTTTGTTTTTTTTTTTTAAGATTTCTCTCCCAGTTTGGAGTGCTTGTTAGTACCAGTAGAAATAAATTTTTGATACTTGCCACACTTCCAAATATCTGGGAAAGAATGGTGGAGCTTTTGCATAAATACAAATAATGTAGCAGGTGTTACTGCTATATGACAAAGGATTTTTATTTTAATGAAGCTGCCTTGCAAGGCTTGAAGGCATTCGTTCTGCTTCAAATAACTGAAATGGTATGCAAAGTCAGTGGGTAATAATTTGATGTTAATACCTGTAGTTAACTCATCACCCAATGTTCTAAACAAAAAGGCTCAGCACGTTACTCCATGGGGTGTTCTCAGATGGCTGATGTGGCCCTCACAAAACTGTATGGCCAAATATGTTGAGTAGAGCATAATCAGAGACTTGTCAAAGGCCTAGTCCTGTGCAGCAGAATTCCTTCTTGCTCCCTCATGGCAGAATTCCTCTAGCTAAACAGCCTGAGTAAGTGTTGTGCTTAATAGTACTACTCTCACACCAAAACAAAAGAATTATTTCATACTCTCTTCATGTGGTGACCTGGCCAAGTTCTTTAACAGAGCATGTCAGAAGATGATCAGAAAACAGAAGAGCCGGGTGACCAGAAAATAATTTTTGCCTTAGTTAACTATGTTTTACACCAATCTTGTTTTTATGCTGCTTTTATACTTGCATCTGTCCCTGCTTTTTCTGCTCTGTATTCTCTAGATTGGTTTTCTGCTGACTCTTTTGCATAAAATATTGAATCCATACACATCCAACTTCTTGCTGCTACAGATATTTGCGTATGTGCTAAGCGTAATGTTACTTTCTGGTGCATAGCTGTTAAAGGAACTGTCAAGAGGAACGAGCGCTTGGAAGGAGATCTTAAAAGATTTTCTGAGAAATGTAAGTAAAATGTGAGTGCGCAGTTCTGAGTTCATTTTCCTGCTCCAGTGCTCTTTTAAGGTTCTGTGCTAACCTGAAACACGTGGTGAGCTTGATTCTTTTGGCCACTTGCCGTTGTCTGTTTTGTTCTCCAGTAGACCAGGTAATTAGTTCTCTTGAGATCAAAATGTGCTTGGATGGAAAGTTCATATAGCAAAATAACTCAACCTGGAAGCTGAAAGGCATTTCAGTAAGCTACCTTGAAAGTTGCAGAGGATGTTGTAACACTGGGTGTTAGGCCGTTTGGACAATGAGGGGTTATGGGATAGTGTGGTATTAACTTGTCCAAGGATAATTAGTTCAGTTCCCCGAGTGTGTATGTACTGGCATGGCTCTTGATTGCTGGGGGATTATCATGGTCCTTAGCATCCTACCAAGGAACAGAGGAGCCTGAAGAAGAGCTTTCAGGCACGGTGGTCTGACAGTAGCCAATGAACCTCCTTTGGGAACTAGGTCTTCTAATGGAAGGGAATCCAGTTACAACTTCACTATTAGATTTATTTTGTGGGAGGAGGGTAGCGATTTGCTTTGCTTTTTCTCTTTCCTCCCTTCTCAGCAGCAGCGTGATGGGAGCGAGTGAGTCATCCTTGGCAGGAATCTCTAACTGGCTTTGTGCAGTGCTGCAGCCTCTCCTGTTCTAACCAGCCTTTAGACCTTTATTTATGACAAGTCAAAAATACAGAATAGACTTGTGAAGGTGTAAAGGGTCACTTTGGGAATGAGAAGGGACTTAAGCCTTCCCACATCCATCCTTTTGATGGAAATACTGTGTGAGTAAGAACGGGTGCTATAAATAATGTATTTTTCCTTTTGCTTTTTACAGATTTTTTTTTCAGTATAGCAGGGACTTAAAGTGCAAAAATCAGTTGTTTGTTGCCCTTCAAGCTCATTTGTTTTGATATTACAATCATAAGTTTATAGGCAAAATGTCCTAAGCAATTATCTTTTCCTGCAAGTACCATTAAGCTTCATGGTCTAATAGGCCAGCTTCTCCCTGGAAGAGAATGAGTCTGGTGCAATCTGAATGTATTTATACGCATCTCCCTTTTACAGTGTGTATGGTGGCTCTGGGACAAGAAAGCATAGACACCGTGTAAGCTAGTGGCTGCGTTCATAGGACCGTGTCTATATGATGAATAGTTTTAGCCACACTGTATAGTGATCCACTTCTCCTGTAGCTTTCAATGGACAGGGGAAAGATATCTCAAAGTAGCAACCCAGGACATTTGAGGATACTTAGCAGAGTTTGCACAAGGCATGTAGTTTACCAAGTGATTTCACACTGCTATCTGATGCCAATAAGAAGTTTCTACAGTTCATACTACTAACCTGTTTCTGCAACTGCAAAGAATGCAGCACATCCTTCTCAAAAGGTACTTTACAAAACCTTTATGAAAAGGGTATGTAAGCCAACTATCTTGAGTGAAAAAAAAATCTCATCTTTTATGAGCTCAAGTGGCAAACATTTTAACTTGTTTTTTTCTGGAGTGATCTTAAAATAGTTGCTTCAAAGTTTTCTTGGTGGGAAGAATAATCATGGAAGACTTAAGCTCAGTCTACCTAAGAGGCCTTATTATTCCATATCAAAGTTTTCTTGGTGGGAAGAATAATGATGGAAGACTTAGGTAGACTGAGCTTAAGAAGCCTTATTATTCCATGTTACTCTGTATCACTCTTTGTAACCACAGAGACACAAAGAATGGTGATTTTTTTTCTGAAAGCAAACCTAAGCTTTCCAGGGTAAGGCAGAGCCATCACTTCACAGGTGTAAACGAAATGTGATAATTCTCCAAGCATGCAAGGCCATGACTAGGAAACTGTGCTTATTTCCTTACTTTGACTTCCCAAGAGAGACCATCTCTTTAAAACGTTCTATAAAAAGACAAATGCAAATCCCTCTGTCACGTTGGCTAGGGAAAACTTGTTAACTTGCCCATCTTTCTCAGCTGTTATCCTATCTTTTTTCCCACCCGTCTGAAGGAGGCTTGGGCTGAAGGGGACTTCTCCATGTGGCAGATTTGCTGTGCTGATAGGCTGCGTATTAAAGAAGGTTGAGCTGGGGGCTGTGGAGCAGGTTTGGAAAGTGCTGCGACAGCAGCATGTGTAAGCCCCTTTGAAGGCCAGGCCACGTGTCTGCAGGCACAGCTTGGCATAACGCCACCTACGAGTTAACAAAACTCTACCTGTGGGTAGGAGTCAGTTATAAGGAACTGGTACAGATCGAAGGTCCATCTCGTCTAGGATGCAGTCTC